AACGGCGTAACAATTTTTACTTTGGAAGCAATGGTCCGTGCACGATCGGACATCGTTGAAAGGTGCCTGCTCCAATCCTATCAGTGAAAATCCAAAACTGAAAAATTGAAAATTGTCCAATTTATGAAAAAAAATTGTATCATTTCATTAGTGTCAACAAATTTATCAGTAGCTGAAGAAAAATAAAAATTACTTGGAGGTATTATTCAACTAAATTTTCAAAAAAATGTTTGAAGAAATTGTTCTTACGTTTGGCGTCAACATTGACAAGAATGTAATTAGTGACGTTTTCTTTTGATTTCAACAGCGCAGAGTCAACGATGATGTCTGTGGCCTGAATCGAGCATGGAGGCACGGCACTGGCGTCAAAGTTGACCACGAAACAACCTTTCTTATAGTAGCAGAACGACAGGCAAGACTCAGTATTATTTATTTCTATTTCATACAAGCCCGGGAAAGAGGCATTTGATGAAACATTCCATGCCTTTTCTGAAAATTTGGGTACGTGTATGTGTGTGTGTGAGAGAGAGAGAGAGAGAGAGGAAGAGAGAGAAAAGAAAGAGAAAAAGAGAGAGATGTTAATTGTGTGAAAGTTTAAACTGATTCAGTTTTTTTCATAACAAAAAAGTTGAATGAATTCATTACTTCCGCCAGGTAAACTCAACTCTCAGAAGCCACGCAGATAACCCCAACGCACATCAGAAATATTTCAGACCACATTTTAACGACTGAAATTTTTTGAAATAATTTTTTTCAAATCAAATTTTCCCTAAATGGAAAATATCAAAACAACGGTTCGAAGATAAAATAATTTTTACTACCAACCTGTCTTTTCAAAAGTTGATACTTAGTACAACGAGGTCTTAACTTTGGAGTGTCCTTTTTATACTACAGAGTCTACGCGTTTTATCATGTTAGTTAGGATGCAACGCATTTATCAATGATTAAGCTAATTATACTACAGAGTCTACGCGTTTTATCATGTTAGTTAGGATGCAACGCATTTATCAATGATTAAGCTAATTATACCAGGAAGTAAAATTTAGATTAAAGTTAATTTTAAATTTAATTGGATCATTAAGAAAGCCTATATAAAAATTTATTCTGGATTTCTTAGTAAAAACTAATTAAAACAACTATAAATGCGACGTTGTTAAGGTTGTTAAGTTTTTATCTACTTGTCTGTAGAGAAATTTTTATTTAATTTTCTCACCATAAAATATTAGTTAATGACATAAATATCGTTTTTCATTAACGATAATTAAAGCAGTGTATTTGGTGAAGCAAAAATATACGTGAGCTGTATGAAGTGAAAAATGAATTAAAATTCTATCTCCGGTGGCAAATCCAGAAAGGTTGCAGGGGGTGGATGATTTTCAAAAGCCTAAGGTAAGGACTTTTTTGCCGATTTCAGTTTCTGGAGGTAATTTTTGAATAGTTGAATTGGTGACATTTTTTCACACAAAATATCCAATATTATATAAACATATGTTAACAACAACAACACACGTTTAGACGACACCATGAACACATTTCTTACATATATAAACATATGTTAATAAAAAGAAATTCGATTTTAATTTTTTTGTTATTGCGGTTTCCGTACAAAAAGTGTATCATAGAGAGTGAATGAAAATTAAAAAAATGAAAATTATTACAAAAAACCATAAACATTTTCTCATTTTTAAAATATAGTTGAGCTAATTAATGAGTTCCATTTTACATAAAACGCTTTTTTTATTCTTTAATTATACTCGTCAAGAATAAAGATTTTAACGTCATTCAGTTGAATTGTCACCGAGTTAGCTCGGTCAGTAGAAGTGCCATGTTCACGCTGCTAATACGAGATAACACGGTTTGAATACTGTCTTTCCGAAACTAAAAGACCGCGTATAAATGATGCGGTGCTTGCGCGTGCACACATGATATGCATGTGCCTCGTGTGTTGTGGATGGTACAGCCTTTGTGGCATGAAGGCCAAGGTTTAACTATTGATATAAGTAAATCGGAACATGCGGAGAAATGTCCATCCATCGCATTGTTTTGCGCTTGGTCGCA